GGAAAGACTAATGTTTTTCTTTAAAAATAAATTATTTTGGAATATGTGATGTATTTTTTGGCAAGCTTGATTTTCGCCACTCTCTCAGATCTGATTATGTTCTGCAGTGGCTGGTAATTTAGCCTATTTTTTGGGAATCTTTTAGTTTTCAACATTTCAGGTTGGCACCTCTGAGGTCATATTTACTCACCAATTGCAAAGGGCCTTTTAAAATTCTTTCCAAGTACTGTTTTAGTGTTGTTTTTTTTTCTTTTTTCATGCAATCATGTACATGTACTTCTTTTTCAGGCTTTGTCATCTCAACTAGCCTCTGAACCCAAGGTTAGTAAAATGAAAAAGAGCCTGGCCTATATTTTAGAGTTTAGTAGTTTGCTTGATAATAACAAATTGATTATTGAAATAATGTGAGACACCTTTGTCTTGATTACTTGCAAATGTGGTTAATGTTAATGGTACAGTTTTGCACATCATGTAAATGCAAGTCAGAAGATTTACAGGTACACTACTAGTCTTACTAACCTGACAGTTGTTCATTTATGAGCAAAAAGTGGTCTTGTCATGTTTTACACACTTTAAATGGCCCCCCTTGGCAAGCAGTGACTTTTGTCTCCACATATCAGTTTTGTACAGCTACTTACTTACTTACGGCCCCTATTCCTGCTGGCGAGTAGGGCAGCAACAAAGGTCTTCCACTCCTGTTTGCTAAGGACTAGCTTCCAGGTGATACCCCAGTTGTGCTTAAGGGTCTTCAACTCTCCCTCCACAGTTCTTCTCCAGGTGTTTTGGGGTCTTCCTCTTTTTCTCTTATGTACTTACGTGTACTAACCCGGAGGATATTGATTCAAGCAAAAGGTGGTATTGCTGGGGTCTTATTAGAAGGTGGGGCTCAGCACAAGTGCTAGGGTACTCTAAAGTCAGAACCCATCTAGTTATGTACTTTAAAACTGGACGTAACAAATTCACTTCAAGCTTTCTTTTCGGTCTGCTTACCCTCCTATAGGTTTCCGTCGTACATGAAAACTTAATGAAACCCCTAGCTATTGTTACAAATTGTATGTAAAGCAAGTCAGTGGTAACTTTGGAGGTGTCTCACTTCCAAGCGATGTAGNTGACAGCTGTTCATTTATGAGCAAAACGTGGTCATGTCATGTTGTACACTCTTTAAATGGCCCCCCTTGGCAAGCAGTGACTTTTGTTTCCATATATCAGTTTTGTACGCCTACTTGCTTACTTACTGCCCCTATTCCTGCTTGCAAGTAGGGCAGCAACAAACGTCTTCCACTCCTGTTCGCTAAGGACTAGCTTTCAGATGATACCCCAGTTGTGCTTAAGGGTCTTCAACTATCCCTCCACAGTTCTTCTCCAGGTGTTTTGGGGTCTTCCTCTCTTTCTCTTATGTACTTACGTGTACTAACCTGGAGGATATTGATTCAAGCAAAAGGTGGTATTGCTGGGGTCTTATTAGAAGGTGGGGCCCAACACAAGTGCTAGGGTACTCTAAAGTCAGAACCCATCTAGTTGTGTACTTTAAAACTGGACGTAACAAATTCACTTCAAGCTTTCTTTTCGGCCTGCTTACCCTCCTATAGGTTTCCGTCGTACATGAAAACTTAATGAAACCCCTGGCTTATTGTTACAAATTGTATGTAAAGCAAGTCAGTGGTAACTTTGGAGGTGTCTCACTTCCAAGCGATGTAGCATGTCCGGTTTAAACTGAACATACCTAATCCCCAAAATCAAATTAAAACTTATAGAGCTGGCTATCAAACTATACCAAGAATTTTGAAATAGCGTGAATTGTCGAATTTTTTACGACCTTTAAATGTGAGCGTCCGAATCACCTTTTGAAAGTTACAAGTCAAAGGGAAATTGTTATTTGGCCCTCAAATTTGAACAGTAGCTAGTTTGACATCTAAACAACAAAAACGTGTCTGCGAATTGTTTGTGTCTAAATATTTTTTTCTCCGAGTCAGAGTGTACGATCACTCCATATTTTTGTCTCCTCTTTCGAAAATGTTTTGTAACTTTTCACTTAAATTGAATACGGCGAAACACAGACACGTTTTTCAAGCGCTTTGGTTCTGGAAACTGAGGAACAAATTAAATCAGCGAAAAACAAAATTCCGTTTGATTTGTAGCTTTGAAAAGGTAACTCGGACACTTCATTTAGAGGTCAAGAAAAATTCAACAATTCCAGTAAATTTGCATGACTCTTCTCCATGAGAGTGACAACGCTTTATCTCCACGGTAGGTTAGACCTGCCGTTCCCACTAATCCGTCACGAAAACGGAGCTTTTCGAAAACGCTCTTCAAACCGGAGGTAACGCAGGTTTAAAAAACGATGGCGTCTGGCGTCACGATAATCATGTTACAGGGCTGGAAATAACAGTCGGTCATCGGACATTGTACGACAAAATCTTGAATATGTCCGGTCAATTTCACATTATGATCGGACATGATGTCCGAACATTTCACCAACACCTATTGTCCATCCATAAAATTTAGTTATATAAATTATTAAAAAGGCTCGTAGTTGCGACCGGTACGGTCGCCCATGCGGCTAAAATTTCATCTTTGGCGACCAAAAATTCTGGTTTAATCGACTACCGAAAATACGTCTGCGTTCACAGGCTACCATAATGGGCTCTACGTTTCTCTGTGTTGACGATCAACAGCTGTTATTTTCTCAATCATTATGTCCTTCCAGAAATACATAGTGAAAGATCTTTACTTCTATAACATTCAACATAAGAAAAGAAAGCAATCTGTCCTTTTGCTTTGCTGTAAAGGATTTCCTCACATCGGAAAACTTGCAAATGGCCGATCGTGTTTGAAATCGCGCTAAAATGCATTGCAAACCCTTGAGCATTAAGTACGTCATGTATGCCTACCGATTGTGTCTTTTGTAATGCATACACAAAATTAGCGGCCAAAAATTAAAAGTCTTGGAAATTTTTTCTTTACAAATGTTATGCATTGAGTTCTTTTCTGAATAAAATTCCACTTGATTTTTATCACTTA